GCGCACGCGGGGCGGGGCGGGGCTGAGTAGGTGGGAGTTGGAGAGGATGAGGGTTGGGGAAAAGGGGGCATGGAGGAAAGGGGGGTTGGGGCGCACACCTTGGAGCAGACCCGCGCGTTCTCCAGCAGCACACGCGTCCAAACGGCCGGGTGGCGAGCCACGAAGCGCCAGTCCCGGCAGACTTCCGCAGCGTGCAGCAGAGTGCGCGTGTCCAGGTAGGTGAAGATGCAGAATAGGGCTGCTCGCATCTTGAGGATCTCGGGGCTGATGACCTCGTTGGAGCGGGAGGGGCTGCCCCGCTCGGCCCGCTGGCCCCTTCCACTACCTCCCTCAGAGCGGGCTGTGGAGGATGGGGGACAAATGGGGGACAGATGAGCAGGAATTGGGGGTGCCAGGCAGGATTAGAAAACTGTGACGGCGACCAGTAACCATGGAGATAGGACAAGTGGCCTCTGCTTACTCTTCTGCATCACTAGCCTGAATTTTGTGAATTAGAAAAAGGTATTTATTCTTAAAGCGAAGTGTCTGGGGTTTTTTGGTTTGTTTTAGAAAAACGTCCGTTTTTAAAATAGTGTATTATCACACTATTCATAATCAGTCATGTCTAGGTCAAAAGTCAACATCATGCTGGATGGAGAAAAGACTGAAGTTGTCAACCATTTCATTTTATTTGGACCCACAATCAACAGCCATGGCAGCAGCAGTCCCAAATGAAAAGATGTGCTACATTAGGGAAATCTACCATCAGGGACCTCTCCAAGGTGCTTAAGAGCAATGGTGTCAGTTTAAAGACTAAGGTGCACTCGCTCAAACCCTGATCTTTACAATTGCTTCCTAAGGAGTGGGTATTGGGTCAGGCTATGGGTGTATGGACACTGGGCTTCTGAACAGAAAACAGCTTGGCATATGGTCACTTGGAGTAGGCTTGGCCTCCTGGTGCCTGCACTCCTCCTGAGCTCTGCCCCAACCTTGTGCTCATGGCCCAGTGGGCATGGGTGGGTGTGTGGGACGAGTCTCCCCTGCCGCCAGGACAGCCTGAAATCAAGCTCAAATACCCCATATGCTGCTGAACTCATCTTGCAGCTAGCCCCTAAGTGTGAGGTCCTGCGCAGTGCACGCCCCAGCCCTGCTTGTTCCACAAATTCCCACCGTGGGGCAACAGAGCAGGAGGGAACAACATTCTCCCTGTGGGCAAAGGTAAAAGGAGCTAGGAGACCAGGTGCTCACCACCCAGACTGAGTCACGGATGGCCTGGTCCCCTGCTCTGTCCACACCCAGGACTTACCCGACAGTCGGCAGCTGCTCAGGGGCCCAGCAGGTCCAGGGCGGGGGGCATCCGAGGACCCCTCAGCCTCTGACTCAGTGGTGCGTGAGCCCACATCTGAGACATCACCCTCCTCGCCCTCTGTGCTATGCCGGCGGGGTCTGCGCTGCCAGTTCTGGATGGCCTGGCGCCGCAGGCCTGAGCTGCGTGGGGGTTGAGACCGCTCTGATCCGGTGGTGGCACCCTGGGCCCGGGCACCCAGGGCTCCAGGGCCACTGTCCTCAGGAGTCCCTTCTTCTGGGCGCGGCAACTCCAGACTGTCACTGTCATAGCAGCCTGAGCTCTGGGATGCGGCTGGCACACGGCTGGAGGCCCTGGGGCAGGGTGGACCGAATGGTGAGACCATGGTACAGGCCTCCAGAACCCCCCCAAACCCACCAGGGCAGCCCACCCACCCCACTTTCCAAGAGCCCGTTGAGTGTAGAAAGGCAGACACCAGTGACCATGGACAACTGAGGAGAGGCCAAGCCCCAGCCAAGGCAGACGTCCAGCGGGCAGCATCTCTGTAGGGTGAGGGTGGGCTGGGGTGGGTGGGCCCGAGGCTTACCCTGTGCTGGGCGAGGAGCCATGCCGTGACACCGCATACGTGCTCGGCACAGCCGGGCCCGCGTGGTGCTCTCGCTGCGGGCCCCAGAGCAGATGGGAAAGGGACAGGGCAGGGGAGCAAGAAGATGAGAAGGAACCAGAGGGACAGGGCGTGAGAGGACAGGAGAGGAGAGAGGAGGGAGAGGAGAGAGAAGAAGGAAAAAAGTTGGGAAAGATGGACGAATGGACAGACAGACAGCCCAGAGAGGCAGGCTCCCCCAGTCCTCTCCCCTCACCCAGCCAGCCCCCCAGCCCCTGGTTTGTGGCTCCCAAGTTTTCATCTGTGGGGAGCGACAGAGATGAGCCCTGAAGGCCAGGTGCTGGGGCATGCCTCTGCATCCTGGGCGCCTCTGTGCAGTCAGGGCGCCTCAGTTCAGACTGGGAGCCTCTGGGGATCAGCAGTGTGGGTGTCAAGAGATGGTGGGGGTGCTCACTCACCATGCGGCCAGGGCCCCGGGGGGCAGGCCCAGCACCCCCGCCCCCACGGCCCAGGCTGGCACTGGGTGTGCTGCCGCAGCTACTGCTGATGACCTGCAGCTGCCGTTCAGCCCGGTCTGCCCTTTCCAGCAGCTCCTCGATGAACTGCTGCAGCCGGAGCTTGGCACTGGCCTCACGCGCCGCTGTCTCCTTCAGGAACTGGTCGATCTGCACCACCTCCCTAGGCGCAGAACAGTCTCTCACCCCGTGTCTCTGCCAGCTGTCCATCTACCTATCCACTCTCCAGGAGGACCTGGCTGTCCACTCGGAGCCACAGATATACACACAGGAGGCATGCTGGTGGCCCCCACAGCAGCACACATGCACTCACATGCTCACACTCCACCTACCCCACCACAGCCCACAGACACCACTGCTCCCAAAGATGTGCTCACAGATGTGCCCAGTTACACGCTGCCACCAAACACCCTAGGAAACCCAGCACATACCACCTGCCAACACACACACAACTCCACACCGCCATCATCATCCATTGCACCAGACACATCCACACAGAAACCGTCATGCACAACCTCCAACAGAAACACAGGCACAGCCATGTACACAGTTGGCACCCTTTTCCAGGCCATGTGCACGTATGTTGTTATCAACATGCCATGGACTCGGACCCTGTGGCCCTAGAGGGACTCATTCCCGACTCAATAGCTGACCCTCCAGTGGGTGTTCAGAGGTTGCAAATGGCTGTTAAAGAGATTAGATTGCCCATCCTTCTTCCCTCGAGCAGCTGATGGATTCAAACCACCTCCATTTGGGTTGGCGTCACAACTCTCTATCTACTAGGACACCAAAGCTCCCTGATGGAAGAGAGGAGGAGGGCTGAACCAAGTGTTTGGATAGCAAAAGGGATAGGGTTTGGAGCAAAAAAAGGGAGAGGCTGTCTTTTACAGGGGTAAGGGAGAAGGAAGAGAAATAAACAAGAAGTCTTCACCATCAGGCACATACCACCATGCCCTCATAGTCCCAAACACACCCCATCAGGGCACACACGGACACCTTCAGCCTCGGTCACACAAGCTCTTGGAAGCCATGATACACCAAACCCAGCGACCCGTTGCCTCACTCACTGCTGTTTGCGCGTCAGCTCCTGCTCCTTGTGCACCAGGTCCTGCTTGAGCGAGGCCAACAGCTCCACGCTTACGTCCACTTGGCGGGACAGCTCCGATGCGCGCTCCTCCAGCTCCTCCTTCTCCCGCCCCAGCCGTGCGCTCTCCTGGCGCGCAGTCTCCAGCTCGGCCGCCTTGCGCTCCAGCTCGGCCTGCAGGCGGCCCACCTGACCCGCGATCTTCTGCTCCACCTCCTCGCTCAGCCGCTCCAGGCGCCGGTCCACCTCCAGCTTCTCCAGCGCGCGGATCTTGAGGCGCGCCAGACCCTCCTCGTAGGCCACATCGGCGGGGGATGGAGACGCGGGCGAGGCCGAGGCGGGCCCCGCGCAGGGGCCAGGGCCAGGCCCGGGCGGCGGCGTGGAGCAGGCCGAGGAAGCCACGGACTTGCGCGCAAACAGCTCGCCGAGCGGAATCTCGATCTCACGCAGCGCATAGCGCGCAGCGGCCGCAGGCACCAGGCCCGGCTCGGCCAGCTCCTCGCAGGGCAGGCTGGCGGGCACCAGGTCGCCGGGGAAGTGGGCGAGGGGCGCGTGATGGTGGTGGTGGTGCAGCAGATGCGGCGTCGCGGGCCCGGCCGCCTGCTCCTTGCCCTGGAACGAAGTGCTCTCGAAGACCTCTCGCCGCGCACCCGGCACCGCCAGCAGGGCGGCAGGCTCTGGCGCCAGCGAGAAACCAGCGGCGGCCCCATCGCAGATGCTGTTGGTCTTGGAGAGGATGTAGAGCGTCTCATAGGTGTGGCTGTACTCCAGGTGCGCACGCAGCGACGACAGGCTCCTGAAGCGCTTGTGCTCCCCGCAGCGTGGACAGCGGTAGGGCAGGTCCAGCGAGGCCATGGCCCCGCTACCTGCACGGTGCCCTGGCTCCACCGCGGCACTGCAGGTCAGCCAGGCGCGTTCATGGGGGGGCCGCGGGAGAGCCCCCCTGACAGGTCAGGAAGGCTCAAGGCCCCTGCGACCAGGGATGAGAAGCTGAAAGAGATGGGACAAGTCTTAGGAGGGTGGGGTCCCTTCATTGCCTCCTTCTGGGGATAGAGAGGGGACATCAGCGACCTGACCTCTGAGAGAGCTGACCTGCTGTGGTTCCTGTAGGAGAGTTTAGCTATGTGTGAGAGAGAAAATTTTTTGGAAAAGCAGTATTTGTTATATTTGCAATAGCCTCAACTTGGCCCAAAGCCAAGCTCTCATCAACATAAGACTCATGAATTATTATGTACTGTGGAGTTCCAACCAATGCAGGAGCTGACCCTTCAATGGGTGGGTTTTCAGAGGCTGTAAATCACACAGGAGGAGATTGCCCATCTTTCTCCCACAGAGCAGCTGCTAGGTGGATTCAAACCACCTGCCTTTGGGTTGGCTGCCAACTCCCTATCTATCGACTAGGCCACCAGAGCTCCACTAAATGATAAATAGTACCATTCATAATGGTGAGGTGTTGTCATAGGATCACTATGAGTCAACTCGATGGCACCTGGGTGTCTGCTGCTGTTGGTTCCGCTCTCCACTTCTGTGCCACCCTCTCACCTCTGCCAGAGACCTGGGTCCTTTCTTCAGAGCTCTCTGTGGATGGGCCTCTCCAGTAAGGGTCCTGACCCCATGCAGAACCCAGGAAAACCCGGCATCCCCACCCCTGGTCACCTCTCAACATCTACTGTCCAGCCGCTTCATCCTTGGCTTCTTGTCCCTCTTCCTCTGCCTATGGAGCCTCTACTTCACTCATCGCTGCCCATTTCCCCTGACAACCTGTGATCTGGCCACTGCCACCCTCCATTATCGTGCCCCGTGGAGTCACAGCCCACCAGCTAACCAGACAAGCCAGTTATGGCCGATGGCGGTTGCTGATACTCCTGACCCCTTGGACATCACAGACTGTCCTGTGGAGGGTTGTCCTCTGGTCTCAGATCTGGTCTCGCTGCCCTCCTCAATGTCTTCTCTCCTGAGGAGGCATTGTGGAAGTGGGCCTCACACTTCCTCAACGTCTGTCCTCTCCTCAGTTCCCTCGCCCCACCACCAGTGGCTCAGCGCGATGAAGACGGCCCGTCTCCTTCTATGCCATTAACTGCCTCTGCAAATCCACTGGAAGAGCAGCCATGGGTCAGTTCCAACTGAGGGTATGTAATCGCAGACCACAGTGGAAGAGAGTGGAGTTGGATCCATGTTAACTTGCACCAAGAAGAAGGTCCTAACCAAGAAATCAGATAGAGATTTTCTTTCGTGAGTAGCAGACCCTCAGAAGGAATGAGCTGAAACAAAGTAGGGTGTGTAAGTGCCTGGAAGGCACAAACATTAAAAAACCTACATGGGTCAAGCTCACCCTGTGGAACTGTGGGAGTCTGCTTCTGTAAGTATGAATACCCAAACCACCCCCACAGAGGAGTTCTGCTCCCCAAGACACCAAACTCTCATAAGTGAGAATATACCTGGTGGCAGCATCTTTTGTTTGTTTGTTTTTTTAATTTTTTTAATTTTATTATGTTGTGTGTGTGTGTGCGTGTACCGTCAAATCAGATCTGACTGGTACAGGAGGAGATTTTCCCTCCTTCCCCGGCAGAGCATCTGGTGGATTCAAACCATGTGCCTCTGGGATTGTAGTTGCAGCTCCTTCCCACCAGGCCACCAGAGCTCCCCTTTTTGTTTGGTTTTACGATGGGGTGTGATACAGTCCTGCTTTCTCTGCATTCCTCAGCCTGAGGCTCACAGACCTTGTCACTCAGCAGCGAAAGAGCGGATTAAACAACTTCCTCCACCTTGAGTGCTCAGCCACATCCTGACCAATGTTAGGACTAGAGTGACACACAGAAAAATGTCAGCGTGTGGCAGTGGGTGATCTCGCCTGTGGCCTTTAGGACGGTCCAGTTTGAGTTCACCAGCTGCTTCACCGGAGAAAGACGGGCAGCTTCCTCCCGTGCGATTTGCAGCCTCTGAAAACACACTGGAGGGTCAGCTCTGAGTTGCTTCCAGCTCGACAGCAATGAGTTGAGTGATAAGAAGTAGACACATTCTGAAAGCAGCTCATTGCTATCAACGCCTAGCTGATCCTCTCCTGGGATTCACAGGCTGTAAATAACATGGGGGGAGACTGCCCATCTTTCTCCTTTGGGGTGCCAGGTATATTTGAACCACCAGAGAGGCATCACCTTTGGGCTAGCAGCACTGCTGAACTAGCTAACACAGACTAGGACACTTGAGCTCCCTTCTGAAGGCAGAGGAAGAAAACGTGGCTTTGCCCAGAGAAGCCCTTTCTGCTTGAGGCCAGTAATCCAATATAGCTGAGAGTCAGATAATTAAGAGCCAGCATCAGCTCAAGCAAAGAAGAGGTGGCTGGGAACACAGAGGGAGGCAGGCCTGGGGCTTCAAGCTCAACACTTCCATTATGGGCAGCTTTCCACTGGGCTGCAGCCCGTGAGAAGCAGAGAATGCACGCTCCTCCCTCTCAGAGCAGGGGTCTGCCTGCCTGCCCTGCGGCAGAGGTCACAGGCTGAGGGCCCAGGGATGAGGGGAGGCCTGTTGCTAAGAGACAACCCTCCTCTCTCAACCACAACAAGAGGCGAGATCTGAGAACTACAGCTTCCAGTGAGCTCTGGGGATTGCAGAGGACAAATCCACTGAAGGCCTCCTAATGATTAAGGGAATTGTATTGTTGGAAAGGAGTCCCTGGGTAGAGGAAGTAGTTAACACATTTGACTGTTAGCCAAAGGGTTGGAAGTTCCAGTTGATCTAGAAGTGATTGGGAAGAGAAGCTCAGCCATTTATTTCCGAAAAAAAACACCACCGAACAGAACACCCACCGGGCACAGCCCTACAGTGTCATGCACCACAGAGTCTGCATGGAAACGAGGTTTTTTGGTTTGTATATTTCACTGTCAAGAGGACAAGCAAACAACAAAACGAGGGAGCTCTGGTAGCCTAGTGGCAAGAAGCTGTGCTTCAGTCCCAAAGGCATGTGGTTCAAATCCACCAGATGCTCTACTGGAAAAGGCGGCTCCTTCTGGGCCAGTTGGATATGATTTGACAGTACACACACACAAAACCCCACAAACAAAACAACACCAACAAAAAGAGGACAAACAAGTAAATAAAACTGGAAGTCAGGAAAACAATGGCCAGTGATTACTCAACCCTCAGTAACACACATCAGTTCCCAAGTAGAATTCTGTACCTCACGGATTTTCAAAGGTTGGTTTTACAGAAGGAGATGGGTAGGCCTTCTACTCTGGTTTGAGCTCTGGTAGCCTAGTGGTCAGGAGCGTCACTGCCAACGCAAAGGCAGGCGGTTAGAACCCACCAGCCAACCCAGGGGGGAACAAAGGGTAATCTCCTTTGCGATTTACTGCCTGTGCCCACGTGCTGGCTACGGGTTGGTTCCGACTCAATCACACAACATCATCATGGGTTTTCCAGGCTTGTGACCCTCCTTTCAGAAGCAGAATGCTGAGTTTGTCTTCTCAGGCACTCGGGTGGTTCAAAACCATCAACATTTCAGTTCTTATTAGATGCAGTGACGTAGATTACGATTCACAGTGAACAACAGCATAGTAACAGCCGTCAGGAGATCAAAAGCTGTGGGGAAATCCGCTGTCAAGGGTCTCTCTAAAGTCTCCAAGAGCCACGATGGTCCGTTTAAAGACTAAAGTGCACCTAATCTAAGCCTTCGTCTTTTCAATTTGCTTCCTGTGCACCTGAAAGTTGGACGATGAATAAGAATGAGAGAACAGTGAACCAGGAACTGTGACCTGTGAACCGTGGTGCTGGAGAAGAACACTGAATATCCCATGAACTCCCAAGAGAACAAACAAGTCTGTCTGGGAGAAAACATAAGCCGGGTACTCTATAGAGGCAAGGAAGGTAGGATGTCAAACCCATGCCTTGGACACGTTGTCAGGAGAGGTCAGTGCTTCAAAACAGACATCACGCTGGAAAAGGTGGAGGGCCAGACCCTCTTTCTCTCAGGAGAGAGAGAGTCAGACCCTCAAGGAGATGGATTGACACCGTGGTTGTAACAATGGGGCTGGGGCACAGCGGAGACGGTGAGGATGGCACAGCTAGATGGAGTAAGGTTGAGACCTGTTGTTCATAGGGTCGCTATGAGTTGTAGTGGACCCAGAAACACCTGATATCAGCCATGAACAACTAGGATTGGGCTGGTGGTGGTGAAAACTAGGAGCAGAGGTGAGTGTACTTGACATTTTGTTTGGAGAGCTGCAGTAACTGAAACAGAGAAAGTACAATGCCCTGCAAGGGGAAGAGTATGTGTGTTGATCTTGACCAGCTGAGGAATGCGATCCAGTGGGCAGTCATTGGTTTGGCTGCTGAACTCCAGACCCTGTTAGTATCTGGGCCCCTTGCTTCCCGTCAGGTCCTCTTCTGCATATGTTTTGGGTAGGGTTGACCCCAGCTTCTAGGTGGCTGTGATCTTGAGCTGTTCACTGAGAGTACAGTTGATGGGTTCACGAATGGAAATGTCACCAATCTGGGGCCAATACAGCCACCTCAGGATCTGGGCTTAGCCAGTGGGTGGTGAGCCTGGAGTGGCTGGTGGACATTTTGGTCCTTTCTTTGGGAGAAGAGAAGGGAAAAAAGGGCTCTTGATGATATCATTTCAGCATCCAGATTTAGATGTGCATGAAGCTCTAATGTAGGTCTTTTCAAGCAGCAAACACTTAGTGTTGCTGAAATCACTTAGTGGGTTGCCAGTCACTAGTAAATGAAACTCCAAACAAACTCTCTCAGCCACAGGACCAAACACCCAACCCTGGCCTTTTCGTTCCTCTATACTCCAGCACCCAGCGTTTCTTTCATTGGTTCCACTGTGTTCCCAGTCACCCCATGCCACTGGC